TAACCGTCACCCAGACACTTCATGACTTACTTTACGTAGTAGCTTAGCAGTTGATCCATGAACAAGCCACAACAAGACTCACTCGTCAATGTTCCATAAGGCTGAGATCTCTGTGTTGCATCATAAGCTCACACAGTTTTTATGATGTGAACGGTCCCATCTCTCTTCATCCAACCACTTCCCTACATATTATTTGACTATTTTGTCCTATTTTTTGTATAGTTTAACAAAAAGCACTAAAAATGTCCAAATGCACACAGATGTACATCAAAAACAAGAAGCGACTGGATTGCTGAACTTGTGAGTCAGCAGCTGTAGCACTTCCTCCAGCTACTTAACACAAAAAAAAAGCTTTGCAGTGGTTTACCGATGCCAAGTTTTTATGTTAAACAGCAGGAGATATTTTATAGTTTGCATTAACACCAGCTTAAAAGAACAACAGGCTTACAGCTCAAGAGAGCAACTCTAACATTAGTGAGGTGAAAGTAACTGGATTAATCAGTAAACGTGAAAAAAGAAGACAGTTGTGGTTCAGCCCTGATCATATACACTATCACAGCTCACTGCAGTTACCCCTGTTGTGAGGTTGTGAGGACACAATCTCAGGTACAATACACCACAGACCAAGAGGTACAGGAAACCTGCACCTCCTATATCCACAGAGATTGCATCACACACTGATTGCTAAATACCATACACACACACACACTAAATATTAGTGTGTACATCAGTAATCAAGAATTACATATCACACCAAGTCCATAAACATCTAACTTCTGGCTCAACAAGCTGATAGTTATCCACCCATTTATTAGATCTGTGGAACTGGCAATAAACAGAAAACAATTACAGGCTGAAACCTTATTCAGCCTGATTCCATTAAACATCTCAGTCTCAGTTTGCACATCAAAATAACTTTAATTTTCTAGTAAACACAAGACAGTGAAAAGACACTCACCAAGACCTAGTAGGTTCACAGAGGGCTCAGAGGTCTTAGCAGGACTGATTTTGGGAGCTGGCCTGGACTCTTCACTCTTCAAAAAATACAGTTGTTGTAAGCAAAGACAAATAAGCAAAACAAACTGAGTACGGGTTAAGAACAATGCTGAGGAACAACAATGCAATGCTCTATTCATAAAGGAAATGTGTGCTATGATACCTTGGTGTAGGATGACACCTTGCTCCCTCTGTCTGGTTCCCCCTCTTTCTTACTATCCTTTGGCTAAAAACGAGAAGAGACTCAAAGTGAACAACAAGATCAATTACAAAGCAGAATGACAGAGCGCTGTAGCCACTTTATATTAAAAATACATACACTGCTCCCATTGGTCACATTCTTGCTATAGTATTTCTTCTTCTCATATTTATCCCTGATGAAGAATTCCACTGCTCTGAGGTCAGAGTTAAAGGAAAAGGAGGAAACAAGCCAAAATGAATCACTTTATACAGCCTGTCACTTTTTATCTGCTGATAGTGAAGGCAGTGTTTCCCATACACTGACTTATTTCTGGTGGGCTGCCACAATATCAACACTAATCACCACATATTGATTAAAAATATTTATTTCAATGTAGTGCCATACGTGGCCTATGTGTTCACTCAGTCCCTCCATGTGCAACTCTGTTTCTCTCTTGCACACAACAAACACATGATGACGGACCGTCTGTGAACTGTTCCTCCTCAGTGTTTTTTTTTTCTTTAAACACAACGCTGTCAGTCGTGGAGATCCAACTCTTACTCTTCTAATATGTTATTCGCAAGCTGGTAAGACTAGCTAAGCTAACTAGCTTTGAAGAATTTGTGGCTGGACTTGAAAAGGGCTGTTCACTCCCAATCCCCGCGAAACCTGGCAGAGTTTGAGCAGTTTTGCAAAGAAGAATGGAGTAAAACTGCAGTGTCCAGATGTGTAAGCCTGACTGAGACTTATCCACACAGTGGTGCATCTACTAAACACTGACTTGAAGGGGATGAATATTTATGCAATCACTTATTTCCCATTGCATATTTTTTATCTAATTGACATTACTTTGTATAAACCTGCCAGCTAGTGCAGAAGGGACAGGTCGGATGAACAGCACAACAGTACAGAGGTACTATTTTATTAGTATATTAAAAAAAGAAAGAAAATTTATGAAAGCGACTGCCAAAAGTAGAAGTGAATTCGGTGGGAAACACTAAAAGGATACTGGTCTGTTTGAGGTCTTCTGAAACTGTCTGGAAGGTTGGCCTCATAAAGTTGCCGGGCCTTGGTGTTACCCATCTCCTGTATACTCTGGGGGGGAAAAAAAAAAAAACAGAGCAGTAAATAAACTGAAGGACACGCTGAATTATTATATTCAGGGACACATCACTGATTTTATATGTAAACTTTATTTTCCTTGTACACAGGGAGCTGGAGTGACATAACAAATGTAGTCTGCAACAATTTGCATAATCTCGTAATCATTTCATCATAATCATTTTCAGGAAAACAAAGTTAACCAATCTCAAATTCCAAATTTACTAATGCAGTGATGTGCTTCTTCTTACCGTTATCTACAGTAGTAACCTGAATATGTTTGAGTTTTGGACAAAACAAGCAATTTGGAGAAATTAACTACAGAGGTGTTCTTAGTTTTAACTTGAAACTTTACATTTATAAGAAAAAACATGTGTTACAAATGAAAGGCATGGAGGAAAGGCTTGATCTGGGAGGGAGGATCTTACAAACAAAGCTACTGAGCTGCATTATGGGAAGTGCAGTATTCAGCATTTCAACAGTTTGACCCACAGAAGGGTCTGATAATCAGGTATCTCTGCATCAATTCTGATACATTTTATTATGTATCACTAAGTCATCCAACTCAGTGGAGAAGCAATATGAAATTATTGCAGTTATGATATGAAATGACAATGGCAGTTCACTAAAATAGTAGAAACACCGATATAATGCATCACAATGAACAAGCTAGCTGCCTAAAGCAGACAAATGTTTACAAGTACAAAAATACTGAAATCTATTTCCTTATGTTTCACCAAACATATAATTTGCAAACATTCCCAAGAAATTATTGAAACTAATTGGGACACCAGGGTTAAAATCAGACTGTACATGATGAATTGTCATCCTGTGTAAATGAAATCAAAGTATATAAACAAACAAAGGTACCTGGATTTGTTCTGAGGTCCATTGGTCCAGGTTGACTGATTTCACTCTAGATATGTGTACTCCCAGGTTCCTGTGGATGCCAGCACACCGGATGCAGATAAATACACCCAGGTTCCATGATGCCCATCTTGGACCTGATAAAACAAGAAAAACAGACTGTAATTTGATGCCTCAGGAAAAACAAGAACAAGCACGATTTTGTACTGACTTAAAGCGCCAAGAAATGGCTCTTCATTTTTTTAACCAATTACAAAACATGGAAATTAACACAAAAGCTTTGCTGGAAGACCTGCCATATTTTGTTAACGGCTGGTAAAACCCGGCAGCTACGCTAAAAGCGGAACTGGTAGGAGCCTAAGCTATGTTGATTTAGTCAAGTTAGCTTGCTAGTTAGCCACTTAATTTAGCTTAGGGGGAAAGATGTCAGCTGACTAGCCCGAGCCAGTTACACACTAGCGACTCAGCGTAGCTAAGCTAAATAACGCAGATGCTATCTTGTTAGTTGGTGTTAGCAGCGGATTCGGAGTTTAATTGTGAACTCTATGTGGTAAAATGAGAAAATTTCGACAGCGTGAATGTCGCACCTTTCGCCTCGCAGTCGGCGCAGTACTTGTTGTCCTCCTCTCTCAGCATTTTGGACAGGATGGCCTGGTGCTGCTCGTTCAGTTTCTGGGCCTTCTCTCTCTCCGAGCGGGTCGTCATTTTCACGGCTTTAGTGGGACTCGCTTAATCACAAGAACTCTACTTTAATCAGTCGTGAGTCGAAAGACGTTTCTGATAAAAGAACATAATCAGAGAGATGTTCGCCGAGTAGGATATGAGAACACCCGGAACCGGAATCCCTTCTCCGCCCACAGGAGTCCTCGAGCTGACGCGGCGACCGCACCGGATTGGACGACAGTTGTGACGTCGTGTGACGTGGGGATTTTCTTATGACTTACGTTTTACAGTGGTGGGAAAAGTTTATCTGCCACCTCTTTTTGATAAACTTGACTGGAGAAATACCTACTAATTGCCTACACTGATCATCAAGCCATAACCTCATCAAATACTGTATGGTTTTTTTTTGTTGCCCTGAACACATTTCTCTAGTTTATTGAAAATGAGCCAGAACATAAATAAATGAAGTAAATCCACATTTATAAAGGGGTCAAACTGAAATTAAGACCAATTTGAAGAACACAGGTAAATACTACTACACATTGCTTATTGCTAACTAGACATCAAATGAACAGAATTAAAGGAAATATGTAGTTAAGAGAAGACAACCCTAAATTTGTAATACATTTGAATACTCCCATAACTTTCATCCAGATATTTTGAGGCTTTAAAAGAGGACTCATGATTACTCTGTACATACCAAAACAGTTCTTAACTTAAAAGAAATACATATCTGAAGTTTAAGAGGCCAACTTATAAAAAAAAACCAAATTTATAATTGTGACAGATAAATGCAGACAGTAAATTAATAGCCCCATTGCTTTCCCCGCACAGTTAGTCATCATATCATCTTGCATAAATATACATAATTAATTAGAAACAACTGTCAATAAATGGTGCTTGAGATGGCTAATCTGGTTTAGAAAAAGGTTTCCAAGCGGATCTTGAAGTTATTCTCTTGATGCCTCACTGCGATGCCATAGCGGAGCAGCATCTCTGTGTACGGTGGCCAAAATCTGTCATCTATCGTCACATAGGGGTCATGTGGGGTGTTCAGCATCTTGGTCATGAGCATCTGTAGGGGTACAGAAGACGGAGGTAGACTGGGGTTAAGCATATCTGCAGTAACAGTGCAAAACGTTAACTCAGAGGGTATCAGGTGAATTGGCAAACATTTACATGTTTAGGTTTTTAGCTCTATTTTCCCTGTATTAAGTTTACACACACTGGACTGAAACAGGAAAGCTGGAGAGATGACATCTGACAAAACTCCTGTCTCATCATTAAATACAGGATATTTATGTGTATATGCTATAGGATTGTTGAACACTGCTGACTGCCCTTCAAGTAAACTGTGACTATAATTATAGTCCTGTAATTCAAGGACATAGGAGGAGTGAGGATGATAACCATAAACAATTTTATTATTGTCATTACTGCATGAACCAAGAATAAGCACAGGTGGGAATTTCTCCATCAACATATTTGAGGACAAGACACATAGTCTGCATTTCAACAAAATCTTCTCCAGGAAGACATTCTGACTGGTTACTGCAGCAAAAACACAGGTGTAATTAACAATGGCTCTGTTGGCAGCAAGGGCAATGGAACTGGCTGACGTAAGAAAAACTGTATGCAGCTATTAGCAATTGGATTAATTACACCTTTTTTCCTGTTATAATACATGAGAACGACTGCTGTGAAAAAGGTCAATCAGGCCCTAAATCCTTCAAAAATCATGGCCCCTGAAGGTGTGACCCCAGGTTATTAACAATCATTACCATCAAACACTCTTCTGTGACATTTATTACAGATATTATTTACAGTGACTACAGAAAGTACTCAGATGCCTTCACTTTTTGCCCACTTCAGTGTTGTAGACTTCAAGTTGCCAATTCTTTCCATCAGCGTACACTCAAATTGGCAAAATGAAAACATATGCTTAGAAATTTGTGCTAATTTATTAAAAATCCAAAACCTACATCTCTCATTCACAAAAGTATTCAGACCTTTTGTAGGAGCCGTTTTGCCAGGAATCACTGCTTCCATTCTTCTTGGTTAAGTTCTTGGATTTTGGCAGTTTATCCCATTCTTCCCGGCAGATCCTCTGTGGCTCCATCAAGCTGGATGGGAGCGCCTGTGAACAGTATCTTCAGAGCTGTCCACAGATGTTCATAGGGTTTATGTCTGGGCTTTGGCTGGGCTACTCAAGGGCAGTCCTACACGTGTCCTGAAGGCACTCCAGTGTTGTCTTGGCTGTGTGCTTTGGGTCACTGCCATGCTGAAAGGTGAACCATCACCTCAGCCTCAGCTTGTGTGCACTCTGGAGCAGGTTTTCTTCAAGAACCCCTCTATATCAGCCTGCATTCATCCTGCCCTCAGTCTCCATGTTCCTACTGCTGAGAAGCACCCCCATAGCATGATACTGCCACCATCATGCTTCACTGTAGGAATGGTGCTAGTCAGGTGATGTTTGCCAAACACAGTGCTTGGAGTTCTGCCCAAAGCTCAATTTTCTTTCTCATCAGACCAGAGAATCTGTTTCATCATGGTCTCAAGAGTCCTTTAGATGCCATTTGGCAAACTCCACGCAGGCTGTTTTATGCCTTTTACTCAAAGTGGCCTCTGTCTAGGCACGATACCACAAAGGCCCGATTGATGGAGAGCTGCAGAGATGATCATCCTTCTGGTAGGTTCTCCCATTGCTGTAGAGCACTTCTGCAGCTCTATTAGAGGGACCACTGGCTTCTTGGTCACCTCCCTTTTGCTAAATTTTTCAGCTGGATAGCCAACTCACAGTCACTGGGACCACGGCGCTCCTTTAGAAATGGTTTTATACTCCAGCCCTGATCAACACCTAGGTTTGCACAGAGTTCCTTGGACTTCATGACTTTATTTTATCTTGAGGATAATTAAAAGTAAAGACGATGCTCCTGACCACAGTTTGGCGTGCCACAGCAAAACGTATGAATACTTTTAAATGAAAGATTTCAGGTTTTGATTTTTAAGAAATTTGCACAAAAACAAAATAAAAAATCTAAAAACAAGTTTTTACTTTGTCATTATGGGTTACTGAATGTAGCATAATGGGCAAAATGGCTATTTATTTACTGTAAACTCTCACAAACTGCATCTTCCAGACTGACCATACAGTTGAATCAACACCTTTTTACAACAACATGAACATTACCCCCTTCATGAAGAAAGGATTTATTATAGGACTGTTGGATTAGAATGCACTTGTTTTAGCTAAGTATAGCTAATAAAGTACCGAGTGTAAATGTAATCGCAGTTCCTGATGTTCACAGTAAAAACAAAGCGAAGCTTCTCAAATTCCATTGTTTAAAGCTTTATAACATAACAAACTATCCCATCAATTGTAACTGTGCTGTTGCAACAAGCTTGTGGCTCTCAAAACTTTCAAAATAAAATGAAACTGTCTGCACAGCTGGGGTTTCACCTGAACTAAGTGATTTGTAATTTGACTGCACTGGATCTTTAAGCATTCATTCCTATCTTGATAGAAGCACCGCAACCCTTAAAGTATCAGCTGAATTTGTACTTGGACCCTTCTGACAGACAGCTACAGTAGCACCTGCTAGGATCAACAAAGAAAATATATATATTTCACTTTAAACAATAAAAATTAATTTGACATCAAAACCCACCTCCAGAACTTCAGTAAGAGAAACCTGGTCTTCATTTAACTCTGGTTCAGCGTTCTGCAAATGAGAAAAAAAAATGTAAGCAACACTGTAGTAACAACAAAGATGTCACATGAGAATTGGCAGCAGAAGCACGGATGATCAGACGTAACACAGGTCACTGCACCTTCTTCTTCTTATTTGAAGTGGATCTATCCTGAGGCAAAGGAAGATGCTTATCCAGGACATCTCCCAGGCACTCCATCAACTTGTCCTGGTAGGCCTTCATTTTCGCAATTTTCTCCTTGATGTCCCGCAGTAAACTGTGGAGTGCACACGCACACACACACACAAAATATTCTGAATTTCAGGAATATTTCTAGCACATACATAGTTTTTTATGTTTTATATTTGCATTCATTCATTTCTGCAGACCACTATTATTTCCCTTTTTTTCACATTACAGTTACTCTTCCCCTGCTGTGCTGCCCTCCGCTGTGGATACATCTCAGAACCTGAACTCCTTTGGTTCAGGGAGATTTTGCCGTTACACTCACCTGTGCTCTGATAATTGCTCCTTTTCCATATGAAGTCGTTCAGTGTGATCATTGACAGCTATCAGCACCTGTTTCTTTTCCTCCAGCCACTTCTGTTCACTAAAAAAATATAAATCAAAAACATTTGGAACAACACAGAGCTTAAAGGTAGGGTTAGTGATTCCTTCCAGAAGCACTTTTTGTTACATTTCTTGAATTTATCATCCCAATGGTAATGCACTGACAACAAAAGAAAAAAATCCATCACCTGTGGCAGCAGCAGGGCTGAAAAATGCCTGACCAATAATTTTACTCATCCTAAGCAAACCTGTTGGATAGCCTACCTGACTGTCAACCTACTTCCTACATGCGCACTCTGCCCGTTCACTCAATGCACAAGCCAAGAGTCTCCCGCAAGGTGTTGCAGTTGCAGACAGATGTGTTACTGCTCTGTTTTGATAGCTAAATCTAGTGAGCTATGACAGAGAAGGTGCCCACAGTAGTGTCGTTCACAAACAGAGACCGTTGTTACAGGCCAGGCCAGGCCTGAGAGAATGAAAAGGGGCTGAAAAGTGGCACGTTGGTGGTCGTGTTTCTGCTGGACAGGCAATTATTGGTTTTGTTTGCTTGGGGTGCATTTGTTATTTTCCTGAAATCAGCAGTAGTCATGCAGTGTGCATTGTGTTTTGGAGGAGTGGTCTTGCAGAGAAGTGAGAACGAAAGGGTGGGATATCTTTGCTTGTCTACTTTCAAAATTGACCTTGCTTTTGCTAGTTTTTCCAGGATTGCCAACCCTACCTTTCAAGTAAAAAAAAAGAAAAAGAAAAGAAAAGCTTCTTCCATTCATGACTGAATGGAGGAGACCTGATAGGCCCCAGAGAGGGATGGTAAATTAATAAGGTATTATAAAATGGCTACATACAGTTCTTTTGTTTCTCTCAGTTTGTCTCTCTTTGTTTCACAGCAAGAAACAATCATCTCAAGATCAGAGCACATCTTAAGCATCTGTGGAAAACAAAGTGGGAAAACACAATGTATAACCAGACCAATAAATTTAATTTTACAAGCAATAACACATTCTTCAATGTTGTGGTGTACACATACCTCCTCTTTTGCAGCTTGGAGCAAAATTTCAGAATTTCCTATTAACACTGGATGAAGCAAAATGAACACAGACATTCAGTACAGCAGGTAAAAGTATTTTTATTTGATTTTAATGTTTAGAACTGCAGTTTGATATTGTCAAAAAATACTAAATTAAAACCCTTTTAAACTGTAATGTTTAATGCACCAGATTACCACAAAGATAGCTGTTTCCTTTGAAATGAGGAATGACATTAACCTGTAAGTGTGGCATAGAGGTGTAGTGCTCATGTGTGACTTTCATTCTTCAGTTGTAAATAAATGACATTCCAGCTTCTGTCAGTTAATGCAGGACTCACAGTCAGGCTCCAGTGTCAGCCACTGTTTCAGTTCAGCTTCTGCTGCTATCAGTTGATTTTCTGACTGTTCACAATGGGAAAAACACACAAACACAACACATTTACAATGAAGTGTGATTATATCATTGATTGGTTAGTGAGTTAATATATTTGCATACAGACACAGAGAAAAAAATAAAATTCCATATATATAAATATATTTTACTTGCCCATATCTCATGGATAGGGTTGGAATAGTTGATATTCAGTTAATAGTTTAAGTCATTTTTAGGCATAAATGTCAAACATTCCCTGGTTTCAGTTTCTCAAATATGAAATACATAGTGGAACACTAAATTATTTGGGTTTTTCACATTTATCAAAGCATAAGAATACTCCTCTGGGTCTGGCAAATTTTAAAGGCCATTTTCACCACTGTGATATTTTATAAATCAGAGGAAGAAAATAATTGACTGATTCATTAATAATAAAAATAACTGTGGCCCTGATACCTCGGTAAACATAATCTGAACCTTTTTGCAGCATTTCATTTCAAGATCTTCCATGTAGTATCAATAACATAAAGATACAGCAGCAAAACATAAATGAACAGCAGTTTCACCTGCTCTTGTGGATTCTCACATGGCTCTGGTTCACGCAGCACAATCTCATTCTGAACCTGCAACACAGATACACACAGTCTGCAGTTTGTATCTCTTCTACTCAGTGACTTGTTAAAGTCAAAGATAAGTCTGGATGGTCAGGTTAAAACACGAGTTCACCTCTTCAAGCAGAGCAAACTGATCCTCACACATGTCCAGCAGCTCCGCCTGAGCAGCCTGTGACAGCTCTGCTGCTGCCTGGCTGCCTGGGTTCACCTCATCCTGAACACGAAAACGCACAAGGTCAAGAGCTGTAGATTTAGATTTGAGTACGTTTTGAAAACCGAGTGCAATGTAGACAATGCTGGCACAGTGCATCGGTGAGGTGAAAACTATTGTGCTTGCATTAATAGGCCAATATTTTCGGTCATAAACATGTTACCACTGCACTATAAGTCATTGTGTACACACAGCATAGTCAGAGGATAAGCAGTCTTACCATAATTTGCAAATGTTACTGGTTTTTCTTCGCTAAGCGAACCACAACAAAACAGACGCTTCTTTTTCAAAATACCGCCAACTTTGATGACGTAACGTTTGCGACTTAGCGGAGTGTTGAGGAGTACTGATGCTGCGCAGCACTACGCAAGTACAGTGAACGTATCTGTTTTTTTGTCTTTTTTCTTTTGTTTTTTAAGCTCTGTACAGTTTAGATCTTTAGAACTGTGACTCGCAGTCATGTAGATTACGCTCCCACCATCAGTTCTATTTTATTGGGAAATATATAAAAAATAAATCCCCACTCGCCCCCACTTTGGGGCGGTCTTGTATTCCTTCCTTCAAGCTTGGGTACTCTACCAGAGCCCTGGGAGTTTGAGGGTCCTGCGCAGTACCTTAGCTGTTCCTAGGACTGCACTCTTCTGGACAGAGATCTCAGATGTTGTTCCTGGGATCTGTTGTAGCCACTCTACCAGTTTGGGAGTCACAGCCCCCAATGTTCCTATTACCACGGGGACCACTTGTGCCTTCACTTTCCACATCTTTTCTAGCTCTTCTTTCAGCCCTTGGTATTCTTATTTGGGACTTCCAGTCTGTATTCAGCACAGATGTTTTTGTACACTATGCCAGCCACTTGGTTATGGCGTTCCATGTATGCCCTGCCTGCTAGCATCTTGCACCCCGCTGTTATGTACTGGATTGTCTCAGGGGCATCTTTGAACAGCCTGCACCTGGGGTCCTGTCTGGTATGGTAGACCCCGGCCTCTATTGATCTTGTACGTACATACCATGCAGAGGTTTGTCCTTCCATGAAGGTTCCTGCTCTTCCTTCCCTTGTTCCTCTGGTTTCTGCTGCCTGAGGTATTCACTAAGCACATCATCACTCGGGGCCATCTTCCTGATGTATTCATGGATCTTTGCTGTTTCATCCTGGATAGTCCCTCTGACACTAACTAATCCTCTGCCTCCTTCCTTCCGCTTAGTGTTCCCATTTGCCTGCGGGATCCCAAGGTAATTGTAGCTGTCCTCAACATCTGCTATGTTGTCTCCTGGTAATACAATCCCCTCAGTTCTGACTACCTTCCCTCTCCTTGTTACCATTCGACCACACTTATCCAGTCCGAATGACATTCCAATGTTCTGGCTGTAGATCCAAGTAGAGTGGATCAGTGAGTCAATGTCTCGTTCACTCCTGGCATACAGCTTGATGTCATCCATGTAGAGGAGATAGCTGATGGTTGCTCCATTCTGTAGTCGGTATCCATAACCGCTTTTGGTGATGATCTGGCTGAGGGGGTTCAGGCCTATGCAGAACAGCAGCGGGGACAGAGCATCTCCTTGGTAGATACCGCACTTGATGTTGACTTGTGCAATTGGCTTGAAGCTGGCCTCTAGGGTTGTTTTCCACATTCCCATTGAGTTCTTGATGAAGGCTCTTAGAGTCCTGTCAATGTTGTACAGTTCCAAGCATTCCAGCATCCATGTGTCAAGTTGTCTCATCTTAGCTGCTATGATGCCTGACAGGAGCTTCCATGTTGTGCAGAGGCAGGTTATTGGGCGGTAGTTGGATGGTACTGCTCCCTTCTGAGGGTCCTTCAGGATCAGGACCGTCCGGCCTTCAGTTAACCACTCAGGGTGGGTTCCATCCATTAGTAGCTGGTTCATTTGTTCCACCAGGCGCTAATGGAGTGAAGTTAGCTTCTTTCACCAGTAGGCGCGGATCATGTCAGGGCCTGGTGCTGTCCAGCTCTTCATACTTGAGACCCTCTCTTGAATGTCTGCCATTGTGATGGTTACTGGGTCTTGTGCAGGGAGGTTGCTGTGGTCTGCTCTTAGGTTCACCAGTCACTGAGCATTCTTGTTGTGTGATGCCTCCTTCTCCCATATGCTCTTCCAGAACTGTTCAGTCTCCAGCCTTGGTGGCTCTGCTCTCATGTTATTCCCCTGCCACTGAGAGTACACCTTAGATGGCTCAGTGGAGAACATTTGGTTTATTCTCCTGGCTTCAACTTCTCTGGTGTACCTCTTCAGCCGTGTGGCCAGGGCTGTGAGCCTTTGCTTGGCAGTCTCTAAGGCCTCAGGTATGGACAGTGAATTGTACTTCTTAGGTATCCCTTTCTTCATCTTTGAAGTGGGGTGACTGTGGTTTAATGGGTAGAGCGGACGTCTCCCAACCAGAGGTTTGAATCTCAGTGCCACGTGTCGAATTGTCCTTGGGCAAGACACTGAACCCCCAAGTTGCCCCCGATGGTTAGAGCCATCGGTTGAGTTGGCGCCACAGATGGCTGCCTCGGTTCTGTACCGGAAACAAATTCCAGATAGAGGTGATTATCCCTTGAAATGTGCTGCTATTTGTTTCTCTCATGAACCTTAACCTATAGAACAGTTCAAAGATGGACTGTGGTACAAATATGGGTTCAAATGGGTTGGACAGTACCACGGTATTATAAATAGGGTTCAAAACTGACAGTAGGCAACTATTATTATACAAATAATAGTTTAGGACTTATCCTAAACTTTAGACTTATCCTAGCCTAATAAAACATTTTTACTGAGAGAAAGAATGAGAAAACAAACAGGGATCTGCAGTCTTTATTAATACATACCATCCAAGTTATTATCCAAATCAATCTCAGTTACCAAGAATATCACATACATTTATAGTGTGTTAACT